ATTTCTTAGAAGACGACTTTGTGATGGAAACGACACGGCCAATCTGACAATTACACGTCCTCGTGTACTGTAATCTTAATATTTCAAATGACTTATAAATCCCAGATTATAGCTTGTGTTTTCTTTAACTCATCAATTTCAAATACCATTTATTTATTCGATATATTATCTTACGCTTAAAATTTTTCTCTTATTTCATAATCTTTCATTATTTTACATTCTACACAACATTATACACAAATTTCAATTCTTATTCTCATTGCAAAATCGAATTCATTTTAACATTTAATTCATTCCATTTGCTTCTCAGCTATTGAATAACCCTATTCTATTATCAAAAAAAACATAACACAACACTGAATTTAGTATTTTTATCAGACCTATAGTCTGGTCACATTTAAATTTGCCTCTTTCCTTTTTTTGAAAAAGAACAAAAGTATAAAAATCCCGCAGGATATCCCCTTCTGGTTCCGGCCTCCGGTTCCTCGCTGATTAAGTGACTTTTCGACAGGACACAACTCTGCGGTCTCTGGGGCAGGCACTCAGTACATCAGTTTCCCTTCATGCAGGACAAACTAATTTTATTGCACTTAATAGTGGGCATAGTGGACAAAAATGGGCAGTTGAGAGGGGAGCGCCAATAACAATCTACTTTTATATATATATCTCTTTATTTTTCATACTCAGATTAAATATGTCCTTTAGCAAGTCAGAAGAAGTGGACGGAAGCCATAACATGAGTGACAGATCGTTGGTAAAGAATGGATTTTTTAATTATTTGCGCGACTTCTGTCAACGCGATAGTGCCCTGAGCTGGCCGGAAATCGCAAGGGAGGGGGCCCGGTCCTGGAAACACCTGAGCGAGGAGGAAAAGAGTCGCTACCAAATCATGTCCAGCACTGACACGGACATCGTTGCCTTGCAAATGAACAATAAAATGTGCAACCATCCAATGGGCAGAATGGGCGGCGGCATGATAAATAAAATTCGGCCCAATAAAATTCAAAAGCTCATTTTCTCCTTGGATGGTAAGTAAACAAAATAAAATCGAACTAATTCAATTTTTATATTAATACAATTTGTTTTTCTTAGAAGACGACTTTGTGATGGAAACGACACAGCCAATCTGACAATTTCACGTCCTCGTGTACTGTAATCTTAATATTTCAAATGACTTATAAATCCCAGATTATAGCTTGTGTTTTCTTTAACTCATCAATTTCAAATACCATTTATTTATTCGATATATTATCTTACGCTTAACATTTTTCTCTTATTTCATAATCTTTCATTATTTTACATTCTACACAACATTATACACAAATTTCAATTCTTATTCTCATTGCATAATCGAATTCATTTTAACATTTAATTCATTCCATTTGCTTCTCAGCTATTGAATAACCCTATTCTATTATCAAAAAAACATAACACAACACTGAATTTAGTATTTTTATCAGACCTATAGTCTGGTCACATTTAAATTTGCCTCTTTCCTTTTTTTGAAAAAGAACAAAAGTATAAAAATCCCGCAGGATATCCCCTTCTGGTTCCGGCCTCCGGTTCCTCGCTGATTAAGTGACTTTTCGACAGGACACAACTCTGCGGTCTCTGGGGCAGGCACTCAGTACATCAGTTTCCTTTCATGCAGGACAAACTAATTTTATTGCACTTAATAGTGGGCATAGTGGACAAAAATGGGCAGTTGAGAGGGGAGCGCCAATAACAATCTACTTTTATATATATATATCTCTTTATTTTTCATACTCAGATTAAATATGTCCTTTAGCAAGTCAGAAGAAGTGGACGGAAGCCATAACATGAGTGACAGATCGTTGGTAAAGAATGGATTTTTTAATTATTTGCGCGACTTCTGTCAACGCGATAGTGCCCTGAGCTGGCCGGAAATCGCAAGGGAGGGGGCCCGGTCCTGGAAACACCTGAGCGAGGAGGAAAAGAGTCGCTACCAAATCATGTCCAGCACTGACACGGACATCGTTGCCTTGCAAATGAACAATAAAATGTGCAACCATCCAATGGGCAGAATGGGCGGCGGCATGATAAATAAAATTCGGCCCAATAAAATTCAAAAGCTCATTTTCTCCTTGGATGGTAAGTAAACAAAATAAAATCGAACTAATTCAATTTTTATATTAATACAATTTGTATTTCTTAGAAGACGACTTTGTGATGGAAACGACACAGCCAATCTGACAATTTCACGTCCTCGTGTACTGTAATCTTAATATTTCAAATGACTTATAAATCCCAGATTATAGCTTGTGTTTTCTTTAACTCATCAATTTCAAATACCATTTATTTATTCGATATATTATCTTACGCTTAACATTTTTCTCTTATTTCATAATCTTTCATTATTTTACATTCTAAACAACATTATACACAAATTTCAATTCTTATTCTCATTGCAAAATCGAATTCATTTTAACATTTAATTCATTCCATTTGCTTCTCAGCTATTGAATAACCCTATTCTATTATCAAAAAAAACATAACACAACACTGAATTTAGTATTTTGATCAGACCTATAGTCTGGTCACATTTGAATTTGCCTCTTTCCTTTTTTTGAAAAAGAACAAAAGTATAAAAATCCCGCAGGATATCCCCTTCTGGTTCCGGCCTCCGGTTCCTCGCTGATTAAGTGACTTTTCGACAGGACACAACTCTGCGGTCTCTGGGGCAGGCACTCACTACATCAGTTTCCTTTCATGCAGGACATACTAATTTTATTGCACTTAATAGTGGGCATAGTGGACAAAAATGGGCAGTTGAGAGGGGAGCGCCAATAACAATCTACTTTTATATATATATCTCTTTATTTTTCATACTCAGATTGAATATGTCCTTTAACAAGTCAGAAGAAGTGGACGGAAGCCATAACATGAGTGACAGATCGTTGGTAAAGAATGGATTTTTTAATTATTTGCGCGACTTCTGTCAACGCGATAGTGCCCTGAGCTGGCCGGAAATCGCAAGGGAGGGGGCCCGGTCCTGGAAACACCTGAGCGAGGAGGAAAAGAGTCGCTACCAAATCATGTCCAGCACTGACACGGACATCGTTGCCTTGCAAATGAACAATAAAATGTGCAACCATCCAATGGGCAGAATGGGCGGCGGCATGATAAATAAAATTCGGCCCAATAAAATTCAAAAGCTCATTTTCTCCTTGGATGGTAAGTAAACAAAATAAAATCGAACTAATTCAATTTTTATATTAATACAATTTGTATTTCTTAGAAGACGACTTTGTGATGGAAACGACACAGCCAATCTGACAATTTCACGTCCTCGTGTACTGTAATCTTAATATTTCAAATGACTTATAAATCCCAGATTATAGCTTGTGTTTTCTTTAACTCATCAATTTCAAATACCATTTATTTATTCGATATATTATCTTACGCTTAACATTTTTCTCTTATTTCATAATCTTTCATTATTTTACATTCTAAACAACATTATACACAAATTTCAATTCTTATTCTCATTGCATAATCGAATTCATTTTAACATTTAATTCATTCCATTTGCTTCTCAGCTATTGAATAACCCTATTCTATTATCAAAAAAAACATAACACAACACTGAATTTAGTATTTTGATCAGACCTATAGTCTGGTCACATTTGAATTTGCCTCTTTCCTTTTTTTGAAAAAGAACAAAAGTATAAAAATCCCGCAGGATATCCCCTTCTGGTTCCGGCCTCCGGTTCCTCGCTGATTAAGTGACTTTTCGACAGGACACAACTCTGCGGTCTCTGGGGCAGGCACTCACTACATCAGTTTCCCTTCATGCAGGACATACTAATTTTATTGCACTTAATAGTGGGCATAGTGGACAAAAATGGGCAGTTGAGAGGGGAGCGCCAATAACAATCTACTTTTATATATATATCTCTTTATTTTTCATACTCAGATTGAATATGTCCTTTAGCAAGTCAGAAGAAGTGGACGGAAGCCATAACATGAGTGACAGATCGTTGGTAAAGAATGGATTTTTTAATTATTTGCGCGACTTCTGTCAACGCGATAGTGCCCTGAGCTGGCCGGAAATCGCAAGGGAGGGGGCCCGGTCCTGGAAACACCTGAGCGAGGAGGAAAAGAGTCGCTACCAAATCATGTCCAGCACTGACACGGACATCGTTGCCTTGCAAATGAACAATAAAATGTGCAACCATCCAATGGGCAGAATGGGCGGCGGCATGATAAATAAAATTCGGCCCAATAAAATTCAAAAGCTCATTTTCTCCTTGGATGGTAAGTAAACAAAATAAAATCGAACTAATTCAATTTTTATATTAATACAATTTGTATTTCTTAGAAGACGACTTTGTGATGGAAACGACACAGCCAATCTGACAATTTCACGTCCTCGTGTACTGTAATCTTAATATTTCAAATGACTTATAAATCCCAGATTATAGCTTGTGTTTTCTTTAACTCATCAATTTCAAATACCATTTATTTATTCGATATATTATCTTACGCTTAACATTTTTCTCTTATTTCATAATCTTTCATTATTTTACATTCTACACAACATTATACACAAATTTCAATTCTTATTCTCATTGCATAATCGAATTCATTTTAACATTTAATTCATTCCATTTGCTTCTCAGCTATTGAATAACCCTATTCTATTATCAAATTTAGTATTTTGATCAGACCTATAGTCTGGTCACATTTGAATTTGCCTCTTTCCTTTTTTTGAAAAAGAACAAAAGTATAAAAATCCCGCAGGATATCCCCTTCTGGTTCCGGCCTCCGGTTCCTCGCTGATTAAGTGACTTTTCGACAGGACACAACTCTGCGGTCTCTGGGGCAGGCACTCACTACATCAGTTTCCTTTCATGCAGGACAAACTAATTTTATTGCACTTAATAGTGGGCATAGTGGACAAAAATGGGCAGTTGAGAGGGGAGCGCCAATAACAATCTACTTTTATATATATATATCTCTTTATTTTTCATACTCAGATTGAATATGTCCTTTAGCAAGTCAGAAGAAGTGGACGGAAGCCATAACATGAGTGACAGATCGTTGGTAAAGAATGGATTTTTTAATTATTTGCGCGACTTCTGTCAACGCAATAGTGCCCTGAGCTGGCCGGAAATCGCAAGGGAGGGGGCCCGGTCCTGGAAACACCTGAGCGAGGAGGAAAAGAGTCGCTACCAAATCATGTCCAGCACTGACACGGACATCGTTGCCTTGCAAATGAACAATAAAATGTGCAACCATCCAATGGGCAGAATGGGCGGCGGCATGATAAATAAAATTCGGCCCAATAAAATTCAAAAGCTCATTTTCTCCTTGGATGGTAAGTAAACAAAATAAAATCGAACTAATTCAATTTTTATATTAATACAATTTGTATTTCTTAGAAGACGACTTTGTGATGGAAACGACACAGCCAATCTGACAATTTCACGTCCTCGTGTACTGTAATCTTAATATTTCAAATGACTTATAAATCCCAGATTATAGCTTGTGTTTTCTTTAACTCATCAATTTCAAATACCATTTATTTATTCGATATATTATCTTACGCTTAACATTTTTCTCTTATTTCATAATCTTTCATTATTTTACATTCTACACAACATTATACACAAATTTCAATTCTAATTCTCATTGCATAATCGAATTCATTTTAACATTTAATTCATTCCATTTGCTTCTCAGCTATTGAATAACCCTATTCTATTATCAAAAAAAACATAACACAACACTGAATTTAGTATTTTTATCAGACCTATAGTCTGGTCACATTTGAATTTGCCTCTTTCCTTTTTTTGAAAAAGAACAAAAGTATAAAAATCCCGCAGGATATCCCCTTCTGGTTCCGGCCTCCGGTTCCTCGCTGATTAAGTGACTTTTCGACAGGACACAACTCTGCGGTCTCTGGGGCAGGCACTCACTACATCAGTTTCCTTTCATGCAGGACAAACTAATTTTATTGCACTTAATAGTGGGCATAGTGGACAAAAATGGGCAGTTGAGAGGGGAGCGCCAATAACAATCTACTTTTATATATATATATCTCTTTATTTTCCATACTCAGATTGAATATGTCCTTTAGCAAGTCAGAAGAAGTGGACGGAAGCCATAACATGAGTGACAGATCGTTGGTAAAGAATGGATTTTTTAATTATTTGCGCGACTTCTGTCAACGCAATAGTGCCCTGAGCTGGCCGGAAATCGCAAGGGAGGGGGCCCGGTCCTGGAAACACCTGAGCGAGGAGGAAAAGAGTCGCTACCAAATCATGTCCAGCACTGACACGGACATCGTTGCCTTGCAAATGAACAATAAAATGTGCAACCATCCAATGGGCAGAATGGGCGGCGGCATGATAAATAAAATTCGGCCCAATAAAATTCAAAAGCTCATTTTCTCCTTGGATGGTAAGTAAACAAAATAAAATCGAACTAATTCAATTTTTATATTTATACAATTTGTATTTCTTAGAAGACGACTTTGTGATGGAAACGACACGGCCAATCTGACAATTACACGTCCTCGTGTACTGTAATCTTAATATTTCAAATGACTTATAAATCCCAGATTATAGCTTGTGTTTTCTTTAACTCATCAATTTCAAATACCATTTATTTATTCGATATATTATCTTACGCTTAACATTTTTCTCTTATTTCATAATCTTTCATTATTTTACATTCTACACAAGATTATACACAAATTTCAATTCTTATTCTCATTGCAAAATCGAATTCATTTTAACATTTAATTCATTCCATTTGCTTCTCAGCTATTGAATTATCAAAAAAAACATAACACAACACTGAATTTAGTATTTTTATCAGACCTATAGTCTGGTCACATTTGAATTTGCCTCTTTCCTTTTTTTGAAAAAGAACAAAAGTATAAAAATCCCGCAGGATATCCCCTTCTGGTTCCGGCCTCCGGTTCCTCGCTGATTAAGTGACTTTTCGACAGGACACAACTCTGCGGTCTCTGGGGCAGGCACTCACTACATCAGTTTCACTTCATGCAGGACAAACTAATTTTATGGCACTTAATAGTGGGCATAGTGGACAAAAATGGGCAGTTGAGAGGGGAGCGCCAATAACAATCTACTTTTATATATATATATCTTTATTTTTCATACTCAGATTGAATATGTCCTTTAGCAAGTCAGAAGAAGTGGACGGAAGCCATAACATGAGTGACAGATCGTTGGTAAAGAATGGATTTTTTAATTATTTGCGCGACTTCTGTCAACGCAATAGTGCCCTGAGCTGGCCGGAAATCGCAAGGGAGGGGGCCCGGTCCTGGAAACACCTGAGCGAGGAGGAAAAGAGTCGCTACCAAATCATGTCCAGCACTGACACGGACATCGTTGCCTTGCAAATGAACAATAAAATGTGCAACCATCCAATGGGCAGAATGGGCGGCGGCATGATAAATAAAATTCGTCCCAATAAAATTCAAAAGCTCATTTTCTCCTTGGATGGTAAGTAAACAAAATAAAATCGAACTAATTCAATTTTTATATTAATACAATTTGTATTTCTTAGAAGACGACTTTGTGATGGAAACGACACAGCCAATCTGACAATTTCACGTCCTCGTGTACTGTAATCTTAATATTTCAAATGACTTATAAATCCCAGATTATAGCTTGTGTTTTCTTTAACTCATCAATTTCAAATACCATTTATTTATTCGATATATTATCTTACGCTTAACATTTTTCTCTTATTTCATAATCTTTCATTATTTTGCATTCTACACAACATTATACACAAATTTCAATTCTAATTCTCATTGCATAATCGAATTCATTTTAACATTTAATTCATTCCATTTTCTTCTCAGCTATTGAATAACCCTATTCTATTATCAAAAAAAACATAACACAACACTGAATTTAGTATTTTTATCAGACCTATAGTCTGGTCACATTTGAATTTGCCTCTTTCCTTTTTTTGAAAAAGAACAAAAGTATAAAAATCCCGCAGGATATCCCCTTCTGGTTCCGGCCTCCGGTTCCTCGCTGATTAAGTGACTTTTCGACAGGACACAACTCTGCGGTCTCTGGGGCAGGCACTCACTACATCAGTTTCCCTTCATGCAGGACAAACTAATTTTATGGCACTTAATAGTGGGCATAGTGGACAAAAATGGGCAGTTGAGAGGGGAGCGCCAATAACAATCTACTTTTATATATATATATCTCTTTATTTTTCATACTCAGATTGAATATGTCCTTTAGCAAGTCAGAAGAAGTGGACGGAAGCCATAACATGAGTGACAGATCGTTGGTAAAGAATGGATTTTTTAATTATTTGCGCGACTTCTGTCAACGCAATAGTGCCCTGAGCTGGCCGGAAATCGCAAGGGAGGGGGCCCGGTCCTGGAAACACCTGAGCGAGGAGGAAAAGAGTCGCTACCAAATCATGTCCAGCACTGACACGGACATCGTTGCCTTGCAAATGAACAATAAAATGTGCAACCATCCAATGGGCAGAATGGGCGGCGGCATGATAAATAAAATTCGTCCCAATAAAATTCAAAAGCTCATTTTCTCCTTGGATGGTAAGTAAACAAAATAAAATCGAACTAATTCAATTTTTATATTAATACATTTGTATTTCTTAGAAGACGACTTTGTGATGGAAACGACACAGCCAATCTGACAATTTCACGTCCTCGTGTACTGTAATCTTAATATTTCAAATGACTTATAAATCCCAGATTATAGCTTGTGTTTTCTTTAACTCATCAATTTCAAATACCATTTATTTATTCGATATATTATCTTACGCTTAACATTTTTCTCTTATTTCATAATCTTTCATTATTTTGCATTCTACACAACATTATACACAAATTTCAATTCTAATTCTCATTGCATAATCGAATTCATTTTAACATTTAATTCATTCCATTTTCTTCTCAGCTATTGAATAACCCTATTCTATTATCAAAAAAAACATAACACAACACTGAATTTAGTATTTTTATCAGACCTATAGTCTGGTCACATTTGAATTTGCCTCTTTCCTTTTTTTGAAAAAGAACAAAAGTATAAAAATCCCGCAGGATATCCCCTTCTGGTTCCGGCCTCCGGTTCCTCGCTGATTAAGTGACTTTTCGACAGGACACAACTCTGCGGTCTCTGGGGCAGGCACTCACTACATCAGTTTCCCTTCATGCAGGACAAACTAATTTTATGGCACTTAATAGTGGGCATAGTGGACAAAAATGGGCAGTTGAGAGGGGAGCGCCAATAACAATCTACTTTTATATATATATATCTTTATTTTTCATACTCAGATTGAATATGTCCTTTAGCAAGTCAGAAGAAGTGGACGGAAGCCATAACATGAGTGACAGATCGTTGGTAAAGAATGGATTTTTTAATTATTTGCGCGACTTCTGTCAACGCAATAGTGCCCTGAGCTGGCCGGAAATCGCAAGGGAGGGGGCCCGGTCCTGGAAACACCTGAGCGAGGAGGAAAAGAGTCGCTACCAAATCATGTCCAGCACTGACACGGACATCGTTGCCTTGCAAATGAACAATAAAATGTGCAACCATCCAATGGGCAGAATGGGCGGCGGCATGATAAATAAAATTCGTCCCAATAAAATTCAAAAGCTCATTTTCTCCTTGGATGGTAAGTAAACAAAATAAAATCGAACTAATTCAATTTTTATATTAATACAATTTGTATTTCTTAGAAGACGACTTTGTGATGGAAACGACACAGCCAATCTGACAATTTCACGTCCTCGTGTACTGTAATCTTAATATTTCAAATGACTTATAAATCCCAGATTATAGCTTGTGTTTTCTTTAACTCATCAATTTCAAATACCATTTATTTATTCGATATATTATCTTACGCTTAACATTTTTCTCTTATTTCATAATCTTTCATTATTTTGCATTCTACACAACATTATACACAAATTTCAATTCTAATTCTCATTGCATAATCGAATTCATTTTAACATTTAATTCATTCCATTTTCTTCTCAGCTATTGAATAACCCTATTCTATTATCAAAAAAAACATAACACAACACTGAATTTAGTATTTTTATCAGACCTATAGTCTGGTCACATTTGAATTTGCCTCTTTCCTTTTTTTGAAAAAGAACAAAAGTATAAAAATCCCGCAGGATATCCCCTTCTGGTTCCGGCCTCCGGTTCCTCGCTGATTAAGTGACTTTTCGACAGGACACAACTCTGCGGTCTCTGGGGCAGGCACTCACTACATCAGTTTCCTTTCATGCAGGACAAACTAATTTTATTGCACTTAATAGTGGGCATAGTGGACAAAAATGGGCAGTTGAGAGGGGAGCGCCAATAACAATCTACTTTTATATATATATATCTCTTTATTTTTCATACTCAGATTGAATATGTCCTTTAGCAAGTCAGAAGAAGTGGACGGAAGCCATAACATGAGTGACAGATCGTTGGTAAAGAATGGATTTTTTAATTATTTGCGCGACTTCTGTCAACGCAATAGTGCCCTGAGCTGGCCGGAAATCGCAAGGGAGGGGGCCCGGTCCTGGAAACACCTGAGCGAGGAGGAAAAGAGTCGCTACCAAATCATGTCCAGCACTGACACGGACATCGTTGCCTTGCAAATGAACAATAAAATGTGCAACCATCCAATGGGCAGAATGGGCGGCGGCATGAAGGGGAAATCTTATCAACCCCCAATAAAATTCAAAGGCTCATTTTCTCCTTGGATGATAAGCAAACAAAATAAAATCTAACTAATTCAATTTTTATATTAATACAATTTGTATTTCTTAGAAGACGACTTTGTGATGGAAACCCCGCAAAACAGCGGGGAACCATAGCAGGAAACCCGCCAAAGGACCAAATCGAAGAGCTCAAGGTTTGGGTTCGAGATTGGGAGGGAAAAGTGGATGCCAATACAAAGACCCTAGAAGCTAATACAAACCAGTTAGCTGATTGCACCCAGCAGATTGCAAAGCTGACGGCACTGCTGCAGGTTTTCCTTAAGGGAAAGGCTAAGGATGCCGAGGTACCCGATTCCTTTCCGGTTGAAAGTGAGGAGAAGCTGGTGGCGTTAGAAGTTAAAATATGCTCGTCTACTAAAACCGCCTATGTAAGTAAAATATTTATGAAGAAGATGAGTGTGCAATAAATTATTTGTTTTTTTCTACAGATTAAGATCATCACAGCAACTATTAGGCGAAATAATTAGCCTAAGTCTATTAAAAGAGTTTTGGCAGAGCACCT